AAGCAGAAGGTTTGGGCTGGAGGCGGAGAGGAGGGGAGGAGTGTCCAGTCTGCAGTGGCAGATGGAGGAGGAGCAGGTGAGCCGAGGGATGACAGGGGAAGGAGAGGGGGACTAAACTATCACATGGCGCCTGGGGGTAACGGCCCCCCCGCTCCCTCCTCACTACTCCACTGCTCCAACATTACAGATGTGCCCATGTTCCATGCTGTTTTCTGGATGTGGAGACATGACGTAGTCGGATTTTTTTTAATAAAAAAAAATGTATTTGATTTAGGATTGCTAATTCAAAGCATTCAAAATTTATGAGACAGGAACCTCAAAATCACGAGACTTGCTTCAAAATAATGTGCTTTTTAAATGATTCATTTCCAGTTCTTTGTATTTGATTTCTGAGTCTTTAGGATGCATTTGGGTCATATGTTCAAAATTTTCTCCACAGCTGTGAAGGCCAGCAACATACTTTAAAAAAAAATGAAACCTGAAGCTGCCATGTGATCAATTGATTTTTGAGAGGTGGGGCTTGAAGAAAAATCACCAGCTAGCACAGAACTTGCAATAAAATCCTGAGTATTGGCAATGTTGTTGGAGCATTGCAGAATATGTGGAGAACTAAAAGTTTTCCCCTTCCTTTGCATGTGGGAAAAAACCTAATGTCTTTGCTAATTTAATAGAATATGGGGTGTATCCTGCACTGCTGTGTATTAAAAGACATAGACAGAATAAAAATTATATACAAAGTAAAAAGTTCTTAGCTAATAAAATATTAGATTACTATAACTATATGCATTTTAAAAATCTGATTAATATTTCACTGATTACTTTTGGCGGTAGTGGGGGAGGAATTGGAGAGGGTGTAATGAAGACTTTTAAAGGAGAATGAATGAGGTTGGAGAACCACCAAAGACTCAAACTGGACTCATTTGTTTGAGAGACGGTGCAGTGAAATTAGGGGAAAGAGGATTTGAAATAAACATAGAGTGGAGAAAGACACAAAAACTGTTACAGATGATGTGCATATCATAGGACAGAATTGGAGCTGTAATGTCCACCAACTATAGAGATGTATGGAGGGAGAACAGAAAGATATTTGGTGTTTGTTTTCCATAGGAATGAGCTAAAGAACAGAACGAGTATAGAGGTATGCAGAGAAATGTTATTCTGTGTCATGGACCATTTGAATATCTGAACATTTAGGTTTGTTTAAATTTGGAATGAAAACCAAACATTTTAGTATTCTCCACAAGAGGATTTGGAGCCCTGGTTCTGGGGCAGTCCTCCCGTGGCAGACCCTGTTGTTGAAGATCTGCAAACTTGGGAGCTTGGGAATCAGCACTTCCAGGGCTCCTAATGGAATCAGATTGTTTGGTGAGCAGCAGATGAATCGGGGGCTTGGAAGTTCAGAGGCTACAGCTAAGTAGGAAGGTTTCCAGGGTCTTGGCTCCCCACCAGCTGTGCTGCCAAGGAGTCAAGAGCTGGACAGATGAGCTAATAGGAACCCAGCCTGGAAAGGTTCCATCACAAACTCACTGAAATCTGTTTGCCTTCCATCAGGGAATTTCTGAGAATCTCTAAAGAACTCTCCAGACTCAGAGAACCTTGCTGCCTGAGACACTTTTGCACTTAATTCTGAAGTGGATGTAAAGATTTTGGAGATTGGCAAAGATGTGTTTCTATTTCCAAGTCTGGGTGGGGAGATGAGCCACTGAAGTTTGAAGAGTAAAGATTTAAGAAACAATAAAGGAATAAATTACAGATTCCAGGATGAGGGCAAATGATATCTGATCAAAGTTTTGCCTAAATTGTAGTCAGATGTACGTATCAGATGATGTTTTTCATTTGATGTAGGCAGACCTAGGGGATATGGATCACAAAAGTATTTTGGGTCTAAATCAGAAATCTAAGTTCCTGACTATCAAGATAGCATGACATTTCAATAGAAGAAGTAGGAAAGGGAAACATTAAAGATTTGTCTGATATGTCTTTTTTTTCCAATGAGTAAGATAGTAGTTTTGGTTACACTGAGTTGAATCAAGTCCTATCAGTCTCAGAAATAGGTAAGTTTGATAGTGAGAAAAAAAATGAAGAAAGGTTGAAAAAGTTGAGGTAATACAGATGTGCCTGTATAAGGGCTGGTAAAAAAATTAGTTGAAACATGGCTTTTTGACTAAAAATTAAATTTTTACATGCAGACCAGTAAACCATAAACCAAAACCTGAAAATGTCTGTCTGTGTTAAAATGTTTAGGAAATCATTACAAAAAAAGTTTTCAGTTTAATTTTCAAAAAATGAAATAGTTTTACCCCAAAATACACATTATTACTGAGAAGTTTTTGGAAACTGTATATTAGTTCAGTTTATGGTTTGAAAAAAAGAAAACATTTTGCAGGGTATTTTGAATAAAACTATACTCCTCCCACTGAAATTTCTTATGCAAAAATGATTGGCATTTTCCAACTGGAAGCTAGAAATCATACTGAGATATGATTTCAGGAAAGAGCTGGCCCGAGATAATGATTTAGAAAAGAGGAGGAAGTCAAGATGTGGATCCAGGGAGATATTTTAGTGGAGGAATTTAGAAGTGGGATTCACACGTAACCATAATTGAAAAGAGTGTAACCAGGAGAACAAAGTTCCAGAAACGGAACTGTATTTAGTGATAAAAAATAATGGCATGGATGATCATATTAATTACAGTACTAAGATCAAGAAAAGTGAATCAGGGTCTTATGGGAAAAAATAATTTTATTTGCCACATAAAAGTCAAATAATATCTTCAGCTCAGGGTGGAACTCTTGAAGAGAAGAGTGTGCTCAGACCAAAGGGCGCACCTATGGAAGGCTGGCTTCTGTACTGTATTATGTCTAGACAGTTGACTAGAAATCATTGCAGCAATTGTTTTTTGGAATTAGAGACTGTACATGACTTTTTCCAAGAATTTGCTTACAGAATGATGAAACTTGGTTGATGAATCAAAGAAAGTGTCTTTAGGGGAGGATTTATTTCAAACTTGTTTGTGCTTACATTTGTTATTTTTCAGAGAGAAGGAGAATGATTTTGTTATTGCACTGTTTGGTTTCCCATTAACGTTCAGTCTAGTGCAGTGGTTTTCAGCCTGTGATTTGCCGACTTCTGAGGCTGTGCCATAAGGGCAGTAGACTAGACTTGTTGATCTCTTGAGATCCCTTCCAGTTCTAGTGGTCTATGATTCTATGTCTAAGATTTCCAAAGGGGTCTGCAGTTCTATTTGAAATTTGTTAAGGGTCTACAAATGGGGAAAAAGGTTGAAGATTACTGCTGTACTCTCATACTTTAATTATATAAAATGATTTCCAGGCATAATCTAATTTCCACATTTTACGGTTATTCTGTTGTATTGCTAGGTACTGTACCTAGTAACAAGAAACCACTCTTTTCCTACTGCTCCCAGAAATAGTGCCACCCATCAATCTCTACAATATCTACAAATACTGGACTAAAGAATCCACAAAGAATTGGTCAGAAGGATTGGCACGTTAGTCAACCATGTTTATAAATTAAGCTATACTCAAGGAGGTCAGTTCTTTTCAAGGCAAATGAAATTAAGAGGTTATTGTTTAAAAAGTAACGGTAAAATGTCTGATTAATGTTTTTATAAAAGAATGCATCACCCCTACATGAATCATTATCTCAATTAAAATCCATGAACTTACAGCTTGTTTCAATTGCCCATGATGGTGTTAAAACAATAAATCCCCTGAAATGTTCCGCAACCCACTGCAGAACAGCATTTCCTGTGCTTGCTGTGAGATTACCTCTTTTAGATAATGATCAAGGACAACTGACACGTAGCTAACTTGCTGCAGTAAACCTTTAAATGAATGCATTTTCTTGCTAGGATTTAAATTAATGTAATTATTTTCTGGACAGTACTTACGGTTCAAATTCATTTATAAGTGGTCTGATATACACAGGGAAATGATCCCTATAATCTATAAATCTTTAAATTAAAGTAAATTATTTTCAGAAAACTGTGCTGGTCCCAGAATATTAATGCATTGTTTTTCTAATGTTGCCTTTCATGTAATGCAGACAGCAACTTGCTCTTAGTAGTGTAACTGCTAACTGTAGCACCTACAGAGGTGGCAAACATGAAAAGGAGGTTGAAATTATATCATGATCTAAAAATCAGCAACATGATTATTTCCCAGAGTTTCCGCGTCTGATCTTTCATAGGATTGTTTTTGTGTAGCCGTTCAGTACCACAGAAATTTCCCTTTTTAAAATAGCTGACACCGTCAGCCAATTTTCCTCCATGTTGAAATTTGCTGCAAGTTTACATTTGTGGGTGTCTACCCCCATTTTAAATTAAACTATACAAATAAATCTCTTATGAAGAGTGGCCTTGCATCATCTCATCCTTTCCATTCTCAACAACTGACTAACTAGTTAATAGTTACCATCTAGCTAGAGTTTAGCAGGAGAGTCTTAGGTATTTTTATGTGTTTGTTCCATCTTTCAAGGTCATCGTATACGACATTACAAAATACTGAATTTAATTTGAATATGAGGGGGATCCTTCTTTTAATACTACAAATCCCATAAGCTACTTTTGCCATAAAATATTTGTCTAACATTTTAATTATTTTGAAAAGG